GGAAATTAGCAAGCATCCCCTTCCTCCTACTCCTAATTGACCTCTCACTCATTCCTTATTTCTCTCATTTTCCCAGTAATGCAATAATATGTAAACACAATAGTCAGTAGAGCTATTTTTAAAACTTTATTAGTGATGGCTAATATTTTTCTTTAAGATTTCTGATATTTCATTTGTGCATTTAGTATTTTAGATATATTAGAAGTTGTTGAAAAAACATAAAACAAATAGGTCAAAAAATTGTTAGATGATATAGATTCCTTGAAAAAAAAATAAAGATTCATTGTTGTTTTGCAAAAGAGAAGATACAATTATAAAGCATAAGCAATTTTAACTTTAAAAAAACACTTTTTAAAGCAACTATTAACTTTTGTTTATCGGAAAAAATAAATAATAAAAATACTCGATTAGGTTAATTCTTTTCCACCCAACTCAATTGGTTTGTTTATATATTAGATGTATATCCAAGTGATGCACGGATAAATAATATTAAATTATTATTTATAATTTAAATATTTTTATTTGAATATATCAGTATATAATTTTTTTATTAATTATTATTTTGATTATTATATATTAGTATAAAACTTTATCAACATAATTAAATATTTATATCTCAATGTTAAATAAAAACACAATTTAAACATTTTTTTAATAAAAATTAAAACGAATATATTATTTAGAAGGTAAAAAATAAAAATGGAAAAATTAAAAGAATTTATAATAATAACGATCAACGTAATGTCTTTCACATAATATTTTAATTTTATTTACTTCTCCAATTTTTTTTTGGTTGTAACATTTTATTTTAAATATTTTTTTATGGGTGGTACTCTTTAAAAACCTACTAAACACTGTTATGTTACTACTACTCTTTTCCATTATCATATTTTTTAACTTTCTAAACCAAAGAAAAAGACAATTAAATCATTTATAAATAAAATGTATTATTGTTTTAAGAGGAAAATAAAAACAAACATAAAAAGTTATCTTTAAATTTATATTTTGTTTACCACAATATTTTATGTACCAAAAAATGCATTATTTTGTGCTGATGCAAATAAATATATTTAATGCAGATTCATCTTTTTAATATAAATAATTATATAAAAAATTAGGTCAAATAAAATTAGTGGGAAAATGTTTGTTTTTTTTTGTTATTTTATAAAAAGAAAAAATGATTAGAAGTGGGAGGTAGAATGTTACTAAATAGTTATATCATAAATAATAATTTTGATGTTGAGAAGGAAAATAATGATGTTGCAACAACAAGAGAATAAGAAAGAGTAGCATAAATATGAAATTGTGTATGAGAATTAGGCGGAGTAGCATAAACATGAAAAATGTGAGAATGAAATTAATTTTTATAGTGTTGCAACTGCAACAACATAAGAATGAGATGGAATAGCATAAGTATGTTATGTGTGAGAATTAGATGTAGTAGAATAAATATGGATTTAAGTGTGAGAATAAAATAAATTTTATTGAGAAAATAAATAAGTAATATATAATTGAGATAATGGAGAATAATGGAATTAGACGGGGTGAGTGAGATTGGCTGTGCAATGGATTTATCGGATAGTAATGAGGTAGTTGGTTATTTGGAATTAATTATTTACAAAATATATACCTTAAATATATGATAATTTTTAAATATCATATAAATAAACTGTTAAAAAAAGTAAAAAAAAATATATACCTTTAGATTATTTATGATTCAAAAACAATATAAACACATATTTAAAAGAGAAATAATTTTGAAATTCAGATTCTAAGTAAATATCAACTTATGATAAAAACTTAGGAGGAAATTAGCAAGCATCCCCTTCCTCCTACTCCTAATTGACCTCTCACTCATTCCTTATTTCTCTCATTTTCCCAGTAATGCAATAATATGTAAACACAATAGTCAGTAGAGCTATTTTTAAAACTTTATTAGTGATGGCTAATATTTTTCTTTAAGATTTCTGATATTTCATTTGTGCATTTAGTATTTTAGATATATTAGAAGTTGTTGGAAAAACATAAAACAAATAGGTCAAAAAATTGTTAGATGATATAGATTCCTTGAAAAAAAAAATAAAGATTCATTGTTGTTTTGCAAAAGAGAAGATACAATTATAAAGCATAAGCAATTTTAACTTTAAAAAAACACTTTTTAAAGCAACTATTAACTTTTGTTTATCGGAAAAAATAAATAATAAAAATACTCGATTAGGTTAATTCTTTTCCACCCAACTCAATTGGTTTGTTTATATATTAGATGTATATCCAAGTGATGCACGGATAAATAATATTAAATTATTATTTATAATTTAACTATTTTTATTTGAATATACCAGTATATAATTTTTTTTATTAATTATTATTTTGATTATTATATATTAGTATAAAACTTTATCAACATAATTAAATATTTATATCTCAATGTTAAATAAAAACACAATTTAAACATTTTTTTTAATAAAAATTAAAACGAATATATTATTTAGAAGGTAAAAAATAAAAATGGAAAAATTAAAAGAATTTATAATAATAACGATCAACCACTACGCCAAAAATGATTTTTTGTATCACCTAATTTAATAGCACTTTTAAAAAAATGCTATTAAAATGGAAAAAACACATTTATAATAGCACTTTTTAATCGGGCGCTATTATATAATACAGACTATGTAATTTTGATAGCACTTTGTACCAGAACGCTATTATTAAACTTCTTTAAGATAGCATTTTGTATAAAACGCTATTATTTGACTACCTATATAATAGCACTTATTAAAAAGCGCTATGTTATATATAATAATTAATTAATTAATTAATTGATAAAAAAAAAAACACATTTTCCCCCGCACCAAAACCCCAATATCTAAACCCAAACCCATTGCGAAGGAGTAGCACCGTGGCATCACCAATGATCACCAACTTCACTCACTCGCGATAATGGCAATGGACGATTCACATTCATCTCTGTTCAACCTAGGTATTCTCGACACTCTCACCCAAGACGAACTTCACGAAATCCTCGACAGCTACGACGCCTTCTGCAACGCCACACAATCTCTTCTCGGCGGTGTCGGCGACCTCTCATACGGTGCTCAATTTGTTTCCCATGTTCACACCCTATTCGTGATTTTGAGTAGCTGTAATGAGGGTTTGTGAGGTTAAGTTGCAGTTGTGAGTTTGTGGTTAAACTGTTTGATGAAATGCCTAACTGAGTTTTTCATTTCAAAAAACAGATGGAGTTGACTTTAACCGAACAAGATGCCGCTCATTGGGTTTACAGAGGTGAAGGTGCTGCTAATATTGTTGTCTCATACACTGGTTCTTCTCCTTCTTACGTATGTTTATTCTTGTAACTCAATTTTGCTTAATTTAATGTTTATAGTTTAAGGCCAATTTGTATTGTGTTTAGAATTTATTTGAGTTTTTCTTATGACATTAAGCTCTTGTGTCTGTGTTTCCTATTTGGATTGGAAAATTCATTTGTGATATTTTCAGCTTATTGCAATAGAATTTGCATAATAGCTTATTGGATAAGTGTTTTCCTAGAATAGTTTATTGAGTGGGCACTTAGGGCTTCTTCGGATTGACTTAGTGTATGTTTGGATTGGCTACAAGATTCACAAAATCATGATCAATGATTGTGATTTTGATTAAAAAAATTACACTTTGGAGCTTCACAAAACCATGGCGCCACTTGGATTTAGCTGAAGTCACCGCTAATCCAAATTATCACCTATTTGAGTTTATCTACTTGTATAAGCATTTTCCGGGTTTATCTACTCGGGTTTTGACATGTTCATAAGTTTTTTTCAGCTTATTTTCTCATGCTCTTCATGGTGGCTTATGAAAAAAGCATATAGGTTATATGAAAACAATTTGACTTTCTTTTATCTCGTGTTATAGAAATAGATTATATGATAATGTTCTATGCTATAAGCACTTAACTAAGCCTTTTTATCCAAATAATTAAATTGTTTTTCCAAATGTATCTTACTTAGATTGGGAAAGTGATGCGCATTCGCAAGTCTCCAAGGAAGGCATCAGCATTACCGGGAGTGAGGAATACCATAGCTCTGTCTCCGCATGAACACCTCATATGGAAAGAAGTACATGAACTTATTTCCTCTTCAGATAAGGAAATTGCTGGTCAACTATATGTCGATCATGTAATGAAGCCTTTGCTTGGATCCAAATATGTTGATGCTGGGGTATGTAGTCACTATTGCACTGTTCCTGCCACATCTTTTTCCTGTGGTAGATTGATGGCTCTACCCATTAATGGAATAGTTGTTGTTTGTATCGCATATTCCAATTTCCAACCATCTTTATCATCACCATTTTTTTATTAATAAAAATGGCTTTTGTGAATTGCCATATTTGCACGAATAAAAAGCAGTTAAGATTTTGCATGAGGAAGTTTTGTATTATGATCTCTGACCTGCATCTATTTTGGTACTTTCCAGTCTCACATTCTAGTGACCAAAGAATTCCTAATGACTGTTGAAAAGAATGTTGATAGTCAGCGTCCTGCTTCGCGAGTTGATGTTTCCCAGGTTGATAAGCAATGTGATTTTTCTCTTCTCATGTCGGATCATTCCATCTTTCCTCAAGGTATTGAGACACTTGCTTTACTACTTACCATTTCTCTGTTTTTCATTTGAATTAAAGATCTAAATATTAGCACTGTATTGTGTACCACTATCATACCACACATACCTAGGTCAGAAATCATCAATAGTATCTGTAAATGTGTGAGAAATTAGTATTTAAACTTTTGAAATTACATACACAGCTTGAATCACGTTGCATCTGATAGCAACCCACATAATGTGAATGAAGCACACGAGTGTTTAGTAGGCCAAAACATACCTCACAGCCCAAGAGTGTGGAAGGTGTATTCTAACTAAGAGCTGAAAAAGTGTCATGGAAAGATCCTAAGAGGAGCAAGATGGCAGTAAGATATTTGACTGCATTTTCTCCCTGATTAGGTTAAAATGGTTGTACAATACATGCGGCGGGTTATTGAGAAGAAGGCAAAGTTTGATATCATGAAACTGAACTGTGTTCTGGTAAGTATTAATTGTTTGTCTTTTTTATAGTAAAAAAATTATGAATGCAATTATGTAAACTTTCATTGATCATGTTTTGTTAAGCATTATTTTCTGTCTAAACGAATTTCTTTTAGAGACATCATTTCTTTTCGACTCCATTTTTATCGTAAATTAATGCTTTTAAAGCCTACAGGTTGCACCGAAGACATTCATTCCTGTTTTATTTGGACATGCAAGTGATGACAAATTCATTCAGCCACACCACTCCGATCTCATCTCTGAATCCTACGCGGTATTAATTTTACAATTATAAGCAGTTTGCATTTTCTCTCTCTTTGATAGCCAAAATATCTAACTTCTGTTTCTGAATTCGTAGGGTGATAAAAATATCATAAAATTTGATGGCGACCACAACTCTTCTCGGCCACAATTCTTTTATGATTCAGTTTCCATTTTCTTCTACAATGTCCTCCGTCCTCCTCAAGTTTATATTGCTGAAAAGCTCGAGAAATATTATGATTTGGGGGATTTGAAACTCGGTTCCGGTGTGGATGAGGTATTTAGCGTTTCTACTCCGTTGTCTTGAAAAATATAAAAGACACTACATAAACTAATTTGCTCTTTTTCTTTTTCTTTCCATGCTAGAGCGTATTATATGAGATTCTCTCTAGTCTACGGTCTGCACCTACTGATGCTGCAAGTTCATCTTCTGCATTTCCAACAATATCTGAAACAAATTCAGTTACCGAACTTCTTTCAGAAGCAGCTCCACTGGCTGATGCAGTAGGTTGCCTTATCCCTCTGTCTCCATTATTTTCTTCATAAAACTTTGTTCTGTTTAGTTTATCCATTGCTTGTACTGCATGAGCCTTTGTTTGAAGAAGATACGAGAGACAAAAATGATGAAGCCGCAAATGTGCAGGTCATCTTTATATAACCGTCTCTGAAATTAATAAATGGTCCGGGAATTATCCTTTACTTAACTTGAACAAAATACTATGAATGACTTTATAGGGTAAGCTAAATGGACAGATTGAAGATTGTTGCTCATATACAAGCTCGACTAGAGAAAGTTGGGGAAGATGTTCTTCTTTAGGAGGCAGTGATCAAGAATCTTTTGCAGATTTAAGTGCTGATGATAAACACTCTCAGGTTTCTCTCTAGCAGCATAACTAAACTTTGTTTTTTCTTCAAAGCTATTTGTAGCAAAGTTATTGACCCTGAGAAGTTTCACATATGACTGCAAAGTTTCAGGTAATACTTTTATCACTTGGATATGGATCCTTAAAGTTTTGCATGATTATAGTATTAGTGATAGTGTTGTGGGATGCATTTTTTATAATAAATGCAGAAAGTTAGTGATGAGAATCGAGAAAGAGCGTTAAATCCTCAACATCCCTATAGAAAGTCACGTTTAGGGTGTGCTCGTCTTGAAGCTGATATGGTAAGTATGTGTATAAATGTACTATACAATATTATAAAAAAATTTAATTGCTATGTTAATTTGTAAAAATGTATATACAGGTAGAAGAGTCAGAAGTTGGTGAGATAAACCGTAGTCAAGTGTGGAAGGCTGCCCGCGTCAATAAGAGCGGGGTGATTGATAATGAGAATGTTCAAAGAGTTGTGGATCAATGTGTAAGTCGAATTTTATATGTGACACTATAGATGTTATTTCCAAAATGCTCACATTATAGATGTGACACTTTTTCTATACTCATCATTGTTACCGAATTTGTATTTTGTTAGTTAGTTTGAAGTCATTAAACTCGATTTTCCTTAATTAATTGAGTCTTTGTGTCTTATTTTGATAGAATAGCCATTAATTGCAACTTGTATCTAACTATTGGTTATTTCTTTTATACTTATCAATGTCAGGAGAAGTTAACAGAAGCTCTATCTGAAGAAGAGAGACAAGACCTTGGTCCCACAAACATATTATTTGAGGCTCTTAATCTCCCAAACTACTCTGGACGTGTTAGGACTTATGGTTTTGGGGTATGTTCTAGGGACATATTACCACGCCAAAATCGCCCCACACAAATGGATTTTGAAAAATTGTATGGCTTTTGTAATTCACTCAAAAGTAGATTGGAGGTGCTAGAGAGAGAAAAGATTGAGAGAGATAAGTTGGATAGAGAGAAGCTAGAGAGGCAACAAACTGAAGAAGTGGAAGAAAGGCAACAACCTAAACAAGTGTCAGAGAGGTTGCAACAACCTGAAAAAGTGGCACAGAGGCAACACCTTGAACAAGTGGTAGAAAGGAAACAACCAGAAAAAGTAGCTGAGAGTCGACTACCTAGTGATAAAGGTTTTTTGGTGTTTTTTTTAGAGAATTTGATTGTATGTTTTTGGATTTGGATTGAAGTACTCATAGATGGGCATCTACAAATTTGGCTATGCAAACGCCCTCTTAATATTCTATATGTTATGATATTTGGAAACAATAGGATTTGGTAATTTAAAATGTTATTTTGGTATTTGATGGATCATAATATATATGCAATGAGTAACTTAAAGCGTTATTTGTGTTGAATTGAATATAGTTATTTTATATTTACACCAAAAAAAATGATTGTGTAAGAAATAATATTGTACTGTACTTATTAAAAATATTGTACCAAATATGTACCATTTATTAGCACTTTATTTGAAAGCGCTATCAAACATATGTTATATATTAGCGCTTTTTGTTTAGAGTGCTATAAAAAAACAAACAAAAAACATGCAAAATACTGACTTTGATAGCACTTTAATTAAAACGCTATTATAAATTGGTACTTTAATAGCGCTTTTAAAGTGCTATTAAATAAGAAATATTTACAATAGTGGCGCGGTTAATAGCACTTTTAAGCGCTATCAAAAACAAAAAAAAAGCGCTATTAAATAACGTAATGTCTTTCACATAATATTTTAATTTTATTTACTTCTCCAATTTTTTTTTGGTTGTAACATTTTATTTTAAATATTTTTTTATGGGTGGTACTCTTTAAAAACCTACTAAACACTGTTATGTTACTACTACTCTTTTCCATTATCATATTTTTTAACTTTCTAAACCAAAGAAAAAGACAATTAAATCATTTATAAATAAAATGTATTATTGTTTTAAGAGGAAAATAAAAACAAACATAAAAAGTTATCTTTAAATTTATATTTTGTTTACCACAATATTTTATGTACCAAAAAATGCATTATTTTGTGCTGATGCAAATAAATATATTTAACGCAGATTCATCTTTTTAATATAAATAATTATATAAAAAATTAGGTCAAATAAAATTAGTGGGAAAATGTTTGTTTTATTTTGTTATTTTATAAAAAGAAAAAATGATTAGAAGTGGGAGGTAGAATGTTACTAAATAGTTATATCATAAATAATAATTTTGATGTTGAGAAGGAAAATAATGATGTTGCAACAACAAGAGAATAAGAAAGAGTAGCATAAATATGAAATTGTGTATGAGAATTAGGCGGAGTAGCATAAACATGAAAAATGTGAGAATGAAATTAATTTTTATAGTGTTGCAACTGCAACAACATAAGAATGAGATGGAATAGCATAAGTATGTTATGTGTGAGAATTAGATGTAGCAGAATAAATATGGATTTTAGTGTGAGAATAAAATAAATTTTATTGAGAAAATAAATAACTAATATATAATTGAGATAATGGAGAATAATGGAATTAGACGGGGTGAGTGAGATTGGCTGTGCAATGGATTTATCGGATAGTAATGAGGTAGTTGGTTATTTGGAATTAATTATTTACAAAATATATACCTTAAATATATGATAATTTTTAAATATCATATAAATAAACTGTTAAAAAAAGTAAAAAAAAAAATATATACCTTTAGATTATTTATGATTCAAAAACAATATAAACACATATTTAAAAGAGAAATAATTTTGAAATTTAGATTCTAAGTAAATATCAACTTATGATAAAAACTTAGGAGGAAATTAGCAAGCATCCCCTTCCTCCTACTCCTAATTGACCTCTCACTCATTCCTTATTTCTCTCATTTTCCCAGTAATGCAATAATATGTAAACACAATAGTCAGTAGAGCTATTTTTAAAACTTTATTAGTGATGGCTAATATTTTTCTTTAAGATTTCTGATATTTCATTTGTGCATTTAGTATTTTAGATATATTAGAAGTTGTTGAAAAAACATAAAACAAATAGGTCAAAAAATTGTTAGATGATATAGATTCCTTGAAAAAAAATAAAGATTCATTGTTGTTTTTCAAAAGAGAAGATACAATTATAAAGCATAAGCAATTTTAACTTTAAAAAAACACTTTTTGAAGCAACTATTAACTTTTGTTTATCGGAAAAAATAAATAATAAAAATACTCGATTAGGTTAATTCTTTTCCACCCAACTCAATTGGTTTGTTTATATATTAGATGTATATCCAAGTGATGCACGGATAAATAATATTAAATTATTATTTATAATTTAACTATTTTTATTTGAATATACCAGTATATAATTTTTTTTATTAATTATTATTTTGATTATTATATATTAGTATAAAACTTTATCAACATAATTAAATATTTATATCTCAATGTTAAATAAAAACACAATTTAAACATTTTTTTAATAAAAATTAAAACGAATATATTATTTAGAAGGTAAAAAATAAAAATGGAAAAATTTAAAGAATATATAATAATAACGATCAACGTAATGTCTTTCACATAATATTTTAATTTTATTTACTTCTCCAATTTTTTTTTGGTTGTAACATTTTATTTTAAATATTTTTTTATGGGTGGTACTCTTTAAAAACCTACTAAACACAGTTATGTTACTACTACTCTTTTCCATTATCATATTTTTTAACTTTCTAAACCAAAGAAAAAGACAATTAAATCATTTATAAATAAAATGTATTATTGTTTTAAGAGGAAAATAAAAACAAACATAAAAAGTTATCTTTAAATTTATATTTTGTTTACCAAAATATTTTATGTACCAAAAAATGCATTATTTTGTGCTGATGCAAATAAATATATTTAACGCAGATTCATCTTTTTAATATAAATAATTATATAAAAAATTAGGTCAAATAAAATTAGTGGGAAAATGTTTGTTTTATTTTGTTATTTTATAAAAAGAAAAAATGATTAGAAGTGGGAGGTAGAATGTTACTAAATAGTTATATCATAAATAATAATTTTGATGTTGAGAAGGAAAATAATGATGTTGCAACAACAAGAGAATAAGAAAGAGTAGCATAAATATGAAATTGTGTATGAGAATTAGGCGGAGTAGCATAAACATGAAAAATGTGAGAATGAAATTAATTTTTATAGTGTTGCAACTGCAACAACATAAGAATGAGATGGAATAGCATAAGTATGTTATGTGTGAGAATTAGATGTAGTAGAATAAATATGGATTTTAGTGTGAGAATAAAATAAATTTTATTGAGAAAATAAATAAGTAATATATAATTGAGATAATGGAGAATCATGGAATTAGACGGGGTGAGTGAGATTGGCTGTGCAATGGATTTATCGGATAGTAATGAGGTAGTTGGTTATTTGGAATTAATTATTTACAAAATATATACCTTAAATATATGATAATTTTTAAATATCATATAAATAAACTGTTAAAAAAAGTATAAAAAAAAATATATACCTTTAGATTATTTATGATTCAAAAACAATATAAACACATATTTAAAAGAGAAATAATTTTGAAATTTAGATTCTAAGTAAATATCAACTTATGATAAAAACTTAGGAGGAAATTAGCAAGCATCCCCTTCCTCCTACTCCTAATTGACCTCTCACTCATTCCTTATTTCTCTCATTTTCCCAGTAATGCAATAATATGTAAACACAATAGTCAGTAGAGCTATTTTTAAAACTTTATTAGTGATGGCTAATATTTTTCTTTAAGATTTCTGATATTTCATTTGTGCATTTAGTATTTTAGATATATTAGAAGTTGTTGAAAAAACATAAAACAAATAGGTCAAAAAATTGTTAGATGATATAGATTCCTTGAAAAAAAAAAAAAGATTCATTGTTGTTTTTCAAAAGAGAAGATACAATTATAAAGCATAAGCAATTTTAACTTTAAAAAAACACTTTTTGAAGCAACTATTAACTTTTGTTTATCGGAAAAAATAAATAATAAAAATACTCGATTAGGTTAATTCTTTTCCACCCAACTCAATTGGTTTGTTTATATATTAGATGTATATCCAAGTGATGCACGGATAAATAATATTAAATTATTATTTATAATTTAACTATTTTTATTTGAATATACCAGTATATAATTTTTTTTATTAATTATTATTTTGATTATTATATATTAGTATAAAACTTTATCAACATAATTAAATATTTATATCTCAATGTTAAATAAAAACACAATTTAAACATTTTTTTAATAAAAATTAAAACGAATATATTATTTAGAAGGTAAAAAATAAAAATGGAAAAATTTAAAGAATATATAATAATAACGATCAACGTAATGTCTTTCACATAATATTTTAATTTTATTTACTTCTCCAATTTTTTTTTGGTTGTAACATTTTATTTTAAATATTTTTTTATGGGTGGTACTCTTTAAAAACCTACTAAACACTGTTATGTTACTACTACTCTTTTCCATTATCATATTTTTTAACTTTCTAAACCAAAGAAAAAGACAATTAAATCATTTATAAATAAAATGTATTATTGTTTTAAGAGGAAAATAAAAACAAACATAAAAAGTTATCTTTAAATTTATATTTTGTTTACCAAAATATTTTATGTACCAAAAAATGCATTATTTTGTGCTGATGCAAATAAATATATTTAACGCAGATTCATCTTTTTAATATAAATAATTATATAAAAAATTAGGTCAAATAAAATTAGTGGGAAAATGTTTGTTTTATTTTGTTATTTTATAAAAAGAAAAAATGATTAGAAGTGGGAGGTAGAATGTTACTAAATAGTTATATCATAAATAATAATTTTGATGTTGAGAAGGAAAATAATGATGTTGCAACAACAAGAGAATAAGAAAGAGTAGCATAAATATGAAATTGTGTATGAGAATTAGGCGGAGTAGCATAAACATGAAAAATGTGAGAATGAAATTAATTTTTATAGTGTTGCAACTGCAACAACATAAGAATGAGATGGAATAGCATAAGTATGTTATGTGTGAGAATTAGATGTAGTAGAATAAATATGGATTTTAGTGTGAGAATAAAATAAATTTTATTGAGAAAATAAATAAGTAATATATAATTGAGATAATGGAGAATAATGGAATTAGACGGGGTGAGTGAGATTGGCTGTGCAATGGATTTATCGGATAATATTGAGGTAGTTGGTTATTTGGAATTAATTATTTACAAAATATATACCTTAAATATATGAAAATTTTTAAATATCATATAAATAAACTGTTAAAAAAAGTAAAAAAA